CAGACTAACAGTACATAGGGTTTTCAAGCCCTATTATTTTCAGAAGTGGATGGCCTAATGTAGTGGGTTCTAACTCATCAATCACACTAATTGCTGATGAGTCTGAACCAACAACAGGTAAATCACTAGGAGGAGATTGTCCACCAGTCTCCTCTTCCACTTCCCACCTCAACCCCATCCAGAATGGCTGGGGTCTCTAAACTGCCCAAGATGTGGTGCCTTTGAGTTAGCAGTGTAACTCCCTATGGACTAGCCACCAGAGCAAGCATAGGAGGCAAGTGAAAATACTGTCTTGGGTCAAGTGACATCTTTAATATATATATTACCTACCCGAAGGGTAGGAGTTTGGATCCACCAGCAGCTCCAGTGAGAAATATGGACATTCTCCAGTGCAGTTTACTACCTCTGAAAACACGCTTGAAGGGACAGCTGTGAAATTCTACAGCAGGCAGCGTATATAAATATAGACGCACACACAAAAATGTTGTTAAGTACCTTCAAGGCCACTGTGACTCATAGCAACCCTATGCACCTATGATGGAAACCTTGTTCTGATACATAAACAGAACTGGAAAACTCATGGTATTTGCTTGCTACTTATATGGGTATCAGCCTCTAGAATGACTTGTGACAATTGAGTGAAGCATGTTGACTCTCTGAGCTCAGGAGCCACCATTCAAAGAGTAAAAATAGACCCATGTAAACAAGCCCTGTATGCTGTTATTGTGGAGAATGCAGATTGGACAGGAGAGCCTCAGCCCAGTGCAGACCACTCCCAGCTGATGCGGCAGCCATCTTCCCGGGTGGTGAGTTTTCTCAAGCCAGCACAGCCAAACACAGGAGAGTTTTCTCTATCTTATATTAATGGCTGATGGGTCAGATAGGCTTACACTTACCCAGAGCTGGGTGATCTACCCCCGCCAGAGGCCTCCTCCTTCTTCTTAACATCCCCCAACAGTTACGGTATTTAAAAATCCACAATAGCAAAGAGATGGAAGCAACCCAAGTGCCCATCAATAAATACATAGGAAAACTATGATACATTCACATAATAGAATATTATGCAGCACTGAAAACAACACTATGCTGAGTGAAATTTCTCCGTTACAAAAGGACAAATATTATATAACACTGCTTTTATGAAATAGAAGAGACATGGAGAGGCTGGAAAAATAGGAAAAGAGTGGATCGGTAATGAACACTGCAGTAGAACAGGTGAGGGAAATAACTGTCCGAAAGGAATATATGATTAGGCATTATATGTGTGAAAACAATCTGGAACAAAGGATGCCTTGTGGGGTGGCCTGGGGAAGGGAGGGAAGGAAATGTACACCAAAGAATAATAATAAAAAAAGATTAATGTATTTTGTTATGTTGTTGTTGTTATGTGCCATCGAATCACATGCATCTCATAGTGACCTTATGTTCAACAGCTCTGAACCCTGCCCTGTCCAGAGCCAGTCTCACTAACTCCAGCACACCTAACCCCCTTGCCCCAGTTACAGTGTTAATCCACCTCATCTGGGGTCTTCCTCTCTTGCATGGTCCCTCCACTCTTCAAAGCATCATGTCCTTCTCCAAGGATTGGTCTCTGCTGGCCATATGCCCCAAGTAGGTGAAACAGAGTTTCAAAATCCTAGCCTCCAAGGAGAAACTTGATTTCAACCTCTCTAAAACAGACCTATTTGTTCTCCTGACTGTCCATGGTATGTTCAATGCTCTTCTCAAGGATCACAATTCAAAGGCATCAATTCTTCTGTCATCCTTAGTCATTGTCTAGCTCTTTGATAGATAGCATGTAGTTGTGAAGACCATGGCCTGGATGAGGCTCACCTTAATTTCTAGACTGATGCCATTACTCCTCAGCACTCTGGAGAGGTCCCTGACACAGACTTCTCTGATGCAATTTGTCTTTTGGTTTCCTGACTGCTTGTGCCAAGAGTGTTGATTATGGAGCCGAGTAAGCTGGATTTTTTTAACAACCTCAATCTCTTCTTCATTCATCATGGTGCTGCCAATTGGCCCAGTGGTGAGAATCTCTGACTTCTTGATGTTTCGCTTCAATCCATATTGAAGACTACCATCATTGACCTTCTACAGCAATGCTTCAGGTCCTCCTCAGTTTCAGCAAATAAGTTTCTCACCTGCAGAGTGCAGATTGTCTATCATTCTTCTTCCAATCCTGATTCCACACTCCTCCTCATAAAGTTAATATGCCACACTCCTCATAACAATTATCATTAACCAATTATCATTAATGTATTTGGATTGCATGTTGGGTCAATTTCAGATTGCAAAAATTGGGTAAAAATTCTCAATTTATTCCACTTTGGCTCTAGATGGAGGAGCATATATTTGAATAATAATCATGTTAACAGGTCTTTTTTGTGTATGGATATTATCCTATCACTCACATTATATTTTAGGATTGTTGTTTGTTGTTTGATGCTGTTGAGTTGTAGACGACTCATAGCGACCCTATGAACAAAA